TTTTAAAAACTAAAGGCAACTTCTAAAGTTTTAGTGAAAACCATGCCACTGTTTAATTTTGCAAATGGATGTAATATGGATATTAACAAAAGCTGGATAGATATTCTACATTAGTCTAGCTGGGCTAGCATAGATCAGTGATGGCGAACCTTTTAGGGCCTTCAGTGATACAAACAGCCTACTGCAGCACACGTGCCATAGGTTTGCCACCACTGGCATAGGTCATTTATTCTCCACAAAATCCTGTTGTAGGCTGGGGGTGGTGCTACATGCCTCTAATCCCAACTCAAGAGGCTGAGGCAGGAGGATCGCCTCAAGGTCAAGATCAGATTGGGCTACATAGTTCAAGGACAGCCTGACCTACCTAGCAAAGCTTCATGTCATTAAAACAAACAATAACAACAACAACAAATCCTGTTGGATATTTGTGAGAGGTTGAGAGTGAAAAGGACAAGTGAGGTATTAGTAGTGTTAGGAAATTTTGTTTATTTATTACAATACTGAGGATTCAACCTAGGTCTTCACACTGAGCTACATCTCAGGCCTTTTAAAATTTTTTATTTTGAGACATCGCTTTGCTAAATTGCCCGGGCTGGGCACAGAGTTGTAATTCTCCTGCCTTAGCCTCCCAGTTGGGATTACAGCTCTGCAACACCATACCTGACTAAGAATAACCTTCCTAGGATTTGACCTTGTCAGAATTCCTTGTCACAGTATCTAAGGTCAGGGGCAGGGGAGTGGGAAGTGGCCTTATGTGCAAGTCATCTAGGCCACGAACACCTGATACACGAGGTCTGAGCCCAGTGTTTTCCTCCACTCAGGTGTGAAAAAGCAATTTTGACACCTGCCTCTTTTTTATCACATGAATGATGAAGCCTCAAATACGGAGTCAGTCTGTTATTTGGCCTGAACTTTGACTGCTGCTGAAGTGACTCGGGCTGTGACTGAGGCTTGGGCTCCCTAGGAGCTACATCATTTTTAAAAAGCCTTTGACAACAGCAGAAGTTTCCAGCACCTGTGGAATACGAGAGATGGGTGGATTCTCTTTGCTTTTTGGCTTCAGCTTCACTTCCCCTTTCTCACAGAACTAAGAGTTTGGGGTGGAGCGGTACCCTGAGCACCGATTACTGCATCTGCACTGGGCAGCTTCAGATTCACTGCTCACCTGCAAAGGCTCCTGTCTCTGGAAGACAGGTATTCTTGCATCTTTGACAGTCCCACACATAGGTGTGATTTCTATGTTTTTTGTTTTTTGACTTTTTTGTTTCTATGGAAATGCTTTCTGGGCTGTCCTTCATTCCATGTGTCCTGATACACTGCTCTTTGGTGGTGGTGGGGATCTCTGATCCCAGAACATTTTACTTGTTTATTGTTATTTATAGCATATTGAGGGCATTTGCTCAATGTGTCTCCCAGTTCTAATTTGAGTTCATGAGCACTTGAATAGTATCAAATTAATTTTGTAAATTTCTGAGACAAGAACAATGTCTTGGCTCTAATGCACATTACATGTTTGTTCTATGGATGAATGGAGTTGCAAGCTGCAGACATTCAGCAGTTGTGTATTGCCTGCTTGACCCTTGCCACTGTGCCCAGTGCTAGGTTATCAAGATGGATGAGCATAGTCCTACTATCCAGGACTCTTCCTTATTGTTTCATGCGTCTATGGAGTACTGAAGTGGTTTTATAACATATGTATATAACAGTGACAGTTCAGCCTTTTGAAACTTCTATTCTGACCCCTCCCTAGGCCATATTCTTATGAAATGAGAATAGACTAGATGACCTTGAGAATTCAACAGTTCATAGAGAATTTAACACTGCCAGTTATGTTTAGATTCCTCAGCTCCATGTTAACTGTCACAAAGTCTTTCAGTCTTGGGACTTGCATGGGACAAATGTGGTACCTTACACTTGGGGCTGATCAGCTCCTGCCAAAGGTTGCAATGACACTGAAGACAAACTTAATTTTTGTTTTTACCTTACTGGTTTTATCATAACCCTTCTCTTTCCTTCAGAAGAACTCTATTTTCTTCATCTATCTTGTTCTCAACCTTAATATTTCAGTTCTGGACCTGATATATATTTATATATTAAATATATATATTATATAAGACCTAGGGTATAGCTTATTGGGGTAGAGCACTTGCCTAGAATGTATGAGGCCCTGGGTTTGATTCTTAGTACCACAAAAGATATATATTTTTATCACATAAATTATTTTACTTTATTCCTTTTAACTCTGAGAAGAAGGTGAGATAATCATATTTCTTCATTATCCTGCTGAGTAATCTGAGTCTTCACAGGCATAGCTGGGGAGCAATGAAGTCAGACTCAGTCCCAGATCTTGATCCCAAATCTTGTCTCTCCTTTGCTTACCTGTCAAGTGAAGGCCTAGTGGAGATCTAAGCTCCTGAGTTTTACCTCCTCTTAACACAGTGTATCAGGGGAATTGGCAAGGTGGAAAACTTCGAGCCCCTAACTGGGAAGTGGATGTGCATGCATAGGGCATTCTGTGGCGTTCCTGAAGCAGGGGATGATGAGGTCCTGCCACTGAGGAACCAAATTCCAAGTCTTCATTCTCTGCTCATAGTGCAAGGGAGGAGGCTTCTGTGGTGTGGCTTGAGTCATCTTCATGACCTGTGGTTAGTGTGGTAATTCTCAACTGGGGCCATCTTTCCCCTCCCAGGATCAGTGTCTAGGGACGCCTTGGGTCGTAATGCGGAGAGTACTATACTATTGGCATCTGGTAGGTAGATAGCACAGATGCTGCAGAGTACGTGGAAGTCCCCACAGTGGTGTTATCTGGTGTCTGGTGTTGACACTGTTGAGGCTGAGAAACCCTGGGTTAGGCCTGGGCACCCTGGGTATAAGCTTGTTGGAGGCAGGAGGAAACTGAAGTTCTGTTACCAAAACAAGTGGAAGAGCTGCCAGACAGCAAAAACAAAGGAACCACAAACTGAAGCTGTTATTCCAGTGACTGTGAAGATGAATTACATGTTTGTAAATGTTGGAGTACTTGAGATTTCTCAGAAAAGGGGACATTTAGAAAATATCTGAACTTCTAAATTTTTTTTCTTGTTTTTCTTTTTCCTTTTAAACTTCTCAATTTCTCAGCATCTTTTGTTTTTATTAGTATATGTTTGTACTGCATACATTTTACAATCTTATTTTTTAATTTCTAAATTTGAACTTCAAGGGCCAGGCATTTAGCTCAGTGGTTCCGCTGCCTGCCTTGCAAGTGCAAGGCCCCGAGTTCAGTCCCCAGTACCAAAAAAAAAAAAAAAACTTCAAAAAAATTCTAGGTGGGCATGATGGTGCATTGCCTGTAATCCCAGCACTCTGGGAGTATGAGGCAGGCCAACTGAAAGTTTAAACCCAAGCCTGGGCAATTTAGCAAGACCTTCCCTCAAAATAAAAAGTTTAAAAAATAGCTGGAGATGTAGCTTAGTTTTCACTGAGTTCTATCCCCAGCACCAAAAAAAAAAAAAAAAAAAGATTCTAGGTCAGTAGTGGAGAATTTATGGTATGTGTGTTGTAGTGGACATTTTTTTATATATATAATTGAAAGTTCTAAAAGGTTTGCCATCACTGTCCTAGGTGATTTCTTTTTTTTTTTCAATTTTTTTTTGCGGGGGGGTTTGAGACAGGGTCTCACAATGTAGTTGAGGCTTACCTGGAACTCGCTATGTAGCCCAGGCTGGTCTTGAACTCACAGTGATCCTCCTGCCTCAGCCTCCCGAGTGCTGGGATTACAGGTGTGTGCCACCATGCCCAGCCCTAGGTGATTACTTTTTAACAAGGGTTGAGATCAACTTTTCATGTAGAGTAGCAAAGATATGTTTTTTAGTTACTGTTTTTTTTTTTTCTTTTTGTTTGTTTTTTTTGAGACAGGGTCTCATGTGTAGTTGAGACTGACCTGGAACTCATTTTGTAGCCCATGCTGGTTTGGAACTCACAGCGATCCTCCTGCCTCAGCCTCCCCAGTGCCGGGATTATAGGCATGTGCCACCATGCCCGGCTCTTAGTTACTTTTTTGTACTGGGACAAAATATCTCACACCCCCACAAATTAAGGGAAGAGAAGTTTATTTTGGCTCATAGTTTGTAGAGGTTTCAAGTCCATAGTTGGCTGGCTCCAAGGCAGGGTGGCATGGCAGATAGGCATTGCAGAAGAAAAACAGTTCATGGTGGATAGAAGGTAGGAAAGCCAAAAGGGGTGCTGACAGCTCTTTCTATCCCTTGTAATTTATCCAGAATACTTAAAAGTCCAAGGACAGACTGAGCTACATAGTGAATTCAAGTCCAGCCTGAAGTACAGAGTGAGACCTTGTCTCCAAAAGAAAAAAAAAGTAGAACCAAACTTATTCTCTGAACTGTTTAAGTTGAATACCCCTAAAACATAATTATATCCCTCACCTGGAAAAACAATTTTTCTACAAACTGATTTAAGGAACATTTAATTTATTAGTTTTACCAACAATAATTCAGATTATACCTGATTATAAGGTGATACTTAGTAAAGAACCCTTACACTTGTCAACAACTTTGGATGTTGCTGGTGTGTTGATCTGAAGATGTTGGGTCTATGTCCTGTGTGCTAATTGGTTAGAATTTCTCTAATATTTCACCATGTTCTTTGCCAAGACAGTTACTAGTATTTAATCCAAGAAGGACAACTAATTGGAGCCCATCATTTTCCTGCTTTTCCCTTTAACTTTATTTGCTGTTTGAGGATAAGCTATATGAATGTGACTCATACTTGCCTATTTTGCTTTTATGTTTATCGTACCCTTTGTACCATCCTGTTTCACTACCTTGAGAGAACCTAGAAATGATTAGAAGCTTTTGTTCTTTGCCTATCAGATATGGTGGCTTTGGGGCCAGCTGTCACAGGGCTCTACTTCCAGGTCTCCAGGGTACACAGTTTGGATGAGCCTCTCTCTTGTGACCCTTCACCCAAAAGCCTTGTGAGTCCCTTCATCGAGAGTGTCATTTCAGGTGAATCACTGTCTACCAGAGAAGATCGTGGTGTACCGTGATGGAGTGTCTGATGGCCAACTAAAGACAGTTGCCAAATATGAAATTCCTCAGCTACAGGAGTGTTTTGAATCTTTTGAGAATTACCAGCCCAAGATGACGGTGTTTGTAGTTCAGAAGAAAATAAGCACCAATCTATACCTGGCTGCCCCTGAGCACTTTATGACTCCCTTGCCCGGGACTGTGGTAGATCATACTATAACAAGCTGTGAGTGGTAAGTGGGCAAGAAAGATGGTATTAAGGGTGAATGCGTTGGAGATGTCCCCTGTTTCTTGGGTATTGGAATAGAGAAGTTTGCTGGAGAAGTGTGGAAGGGAATTTAGATTCTACTATTAAAACCTTAAATTTTGTTTAAAAATTTTAATGACCAAAATAGCTTTACCTCTTAAATATAAAATATTATACATCCTGTTCTTAAAATAATGTATGCAAACCTTCCGCACACAGACAAGGCAGTTTCAGTAGCCTAATAAGCCAGGCGTGGTGTACATGGCTATAATCCCAGGACTTGGGAGGCTGATACAGAAGGATCGCCATGCATTTGATGCCAGCCTAGACTGCATAGTGAGTTTAAGGCCAGCCTGGATTACATAGTGAGACCCTGTCTCAAAAACAGTAGCAAAATCAAAAACGCAACAACAAAAACTAAGGAGTCTGGAGACCTAAGTGCTAATCCTGGTGTGGTCTCTGTGTGTCCTTGATCCAGTCATTTACTTCTCTGAGCCCTAGATGAAGAATCTGGAGTAATTTCCAAGACCCTTTCTGGCTCTTTCTTGCTAAATCCAGCCATGTGACTAATTGGCCCTTCTTGCTAGGGTGGATTTCTACCTTCTTGCCCATCATGTACGGCAAGGCTGTGGCATCCCTACACACTACATCTGTGTTTTCAACACCGCAAACCTGAGCCCTGATCACATGCAGAGGTGAGCCAATAAATAGTTTTCTCTTTCTTACTCGTAATGCTGACCCACTAGCTAAAGGGGGTCACTACATACCCCTAGATATATTTATCCCTTGACTTCCTTACATTTTTGACAATAATGAGATTTAAGAAAAATAATGGTTTCTTTTTGAAGAGTGATTGGTAATCCTGGTTTTACATTAAAATTACTTAAAGAGCTTTAAAAAACCTGATGACTCCTACAATCCTAGCACTGGAAAGGCTGAGGCAGAAAGATCACTAGTTTGAGGCTTGCCTGACTACATAGCAAGATCCTGTCTCCAACCAAACCAAAGCAAACCAAACCAAAAAGCTGTGCATGGTGGCACTCACCTGTAATCACAGTAATTGGGAGAATGAGGCAGGAAGATCTTGAGTCTCAGGCCAACCTAGGTTGCATAACAAGTTCAAGGCTGACCTGGACAATATATATACAGATTAAAAACTGGGGGGTGGGATATTGCTGTTGGCCTCTTCTACTTATCATTTTATTGTTTTTTTTTTTT